TTTTTTTTTTTTTTTTTGTTTTTTTCGTTTCGTTAATATCGAATAATCTTGATCGAATCCAGTGGATCAGCCAAATGATAAGACAGGGCGTAAAAGTTAGTTATAAACTTGCGGGTACTCGAGAAGAAAGACTTGAAAAAAAAAAAAAAAAGAAAATAAAGAGTGTCGCAGCAAAGTAATAGCGCGTTTTTTTTTGGGACGTCCCAAGATGAAAAGCGCGCAGGTCGTGCCACTGATTTCATGTAACGTTTCTCACACGATCTTGGCGCGTCCCATTGCGAGTGAAAGAAGTGCAAACGAATCCATTTCCAGAGGAAAGTGAGGCATCCGTCTCACGGTACACTTTACGAAACGCCTCGTGTTTTTGTGCCAATCGTAACGTTTTTAAGCCGCCCAAAGGTCTTTAGATCTTCCCACTTGTACAGTGTCTCTATCCCGAGCGAAAGAGCAAAAGAATAATAAGGTCCAACGAACGTATACGATCCATTTAAAGAATGAACTCTGGTAATAAAGTATTTGAAATGGTGTAACGTTTAATATGTATGTACATATACACACACACACACACATATGTATGCGTGTCAACACGTGATATCACCGTAGATCAGTTTCTTTTGCGCACTAAATGATTTTAACTTGCCTCGTCTATCTTCCCGTTATGAGAAATTTCAAACCTATAGTATTATCAATCGTCTTCCTTGTCGTTACGTTGTTTTATACACGACGTACCGTGGCGTTGTAACGGCAGATGTGTACACGTTGAGTCAACGCGTGTAGTTCATCGTAATCAATAGATATTTGTATAAAATGATTTGTAGCCGGGTTTCCCCAGAGCAAAGTATAATTAAAGGTAACTGAAGTGACCTTTTTCTTCTTGGTTAGAGAAAAGGAACCGTCGATTACGATCGAGCGACAAAAAGACCAGTAAACAAGGATTTCCCCCCTCCGGCAGATCATTCCGTGTTTTTTTTTCTTTTTTTTTTTTTTTTTTTTTAATGATAATAGGCTTCTCTTCGTTTCGCGCCGGCCAGTTCAACCGGATCGTTGAACACCGTTGAAAATTGTACAGGAAGACGAAAAAGTGGCTCCCTCGACATACTTCAATCTTCCGTATTGAATCTTAAGTGTTACTAATCGTAAGATCGTAAGGCTGACCTCCTATGTCTAATGCGGCGATTCAAGTTGAGAGTATTCCGAGGAGATAAATTATTTATTTGTTTACGATAACGAGGCCGTTTGTGAAAATCGTGTTAATCGGGCAACTCGCCGTAGGCTCGAGAGACTACCATTTGTGACACGCGCAGTTGATGATGACCCCCCGTCTGAAAGTGCACGAATTCCACGAGCATGTACGTACTATGTATATAATTCAGAAAAAGAAAAAAAAAAAAAAGAAACAGAAGATGTAACAATGACAACCATAGTACTTGCGACAACGCTAATCATCTGCGACGAATAAACATTACAACTAACGAAATCGAACGTATTGTGCATTGTATGTCGGGAAAGAAATAAAATCAAAATGAATCGATTGAATCGTCGTGCCTTCTCATTCAATGCCACCACAGACTTTCAGATAAAAGCACAAAAAAGTTGCGATCAACTGTACATTCAGGCCGAGGGTTTATTACGATTTTCACGTTCGTAAGATTTGCAGATTTTTCAAATATCCCGCCCAGCTCGAGGAATGCGCGATGGCCTACAGATGGCAGTAGCGGCGTGTCGATAGATTCACAGCGAGGTGTCCCCTCACTGTCAGAACGTGTTCGCCATGTTCTGTTTACAGTACCGCGGTCGCGTCCATCATCGTCGCTAGGTACGGCTGTTCGTTTCCTCGCTTCCACCAGCTCGGTATTATTATTATGTTCCGCACGATCCACTGGTGATGTCCGAAGGCGTGGCGCGTCCGCGTGTTCTCGAGAGCTGCATCGCGTGACGATTCTCGATCTCGGAATCTCGGCGGCCCGGAGACTGAACGATACGCAACGATGGCACCGTGTTACGCGACGATCTACGCTCTGACGGTGGCCGTGCTCGGTGTCGGCGCTTTCCACGCGAAGGATCCGTTGGCGCATCACGGTAGATGCGAGCCGATCACCATCAACCTGTGCATGAACATACCGTACAACGAGACCATTATGCCGAACCTGATGAACCATCAGAAGCAGGAGGACGCTGGCCAGGAGGTGCACCAGTTCGCGCCGTTGGTGAAAATGAAGTGCAGCCCCGACCTTCGTTTCTTTCTGTGCACGGTGTACGCGCCCGTGTGCACCATCATCGACAGAGCGATACCGCCGTGTCGGTCGTTGTGCGAGAGTGCTCGCGCCGGCTGCGAACGTCTGATGAACAGCTTCGGCTTCGCCTGGCCGGACAATCTCGATTGTTCGAAATTGCCGGAGAACGGCGGCCCCGAGTTGTGCGTGGGCCACAACGAGACCACGCCGCCGGAACCGTCGCCACCGGTGTACCCGCCGCCTCTGATGCCCGTGCCCGAGTTTCAACCGTCGTGGACCGGCGGGCCGAAACCGTACGGCAGCGGGTTCATGCTCGGCGCCAGGGACTTTGGTTTCGTTTGCCCGATGCAGTTCAAGGTCCCGCACGAGCTCGGCTACTCGCTGAAGGTCGGCGACAAGGTCGAGCCCAACTGCGGCGCACCGTGCGACGGGATGTTCTTCACCGAGAGGGAACGACGATTTTCGAGGATCTGGGTCGGCACTTGGGCCTCCGTTTGCGCAGCCTCGTGTTTCTTCACCTTTCTGACGTTCCTCATCGACACGGACAGGTTCAGGTAAAGGTTGTGTAGGCACAGTGTGTAAATAAATCAGTGGCAGTTATCATTACGTTTGTAGTTTAGTCAGTTTTCAATTTGTAGTTAATAATTAATCCAGCCATTAATTTGTAACTTTGAATAAAAGCACGTACCTAAGCCAAGCGTGTAGCTTGTTATCAAGAACATAAATTATTGCTTGCACACAAATAATTGTTAGATGCTGTCTGTTCTTTCAAATCAAATTCAGTATAGTCCAGTGTAGAAGTATGTGTGATTCCTTTTAAATTAAAGCGTGTGATGATTTACATATATTGTTTCACATGTAGGTATCCCGAAAGGCCAATCATATTTTTGTCAGTATGCTATCTCATGGTAGCATTGGCATACGTGATTGGCTGGGCAGCTGGTAATTCCATTGCCTGTAGAGAGCCTTTCCCACCTCCTCTAGATATGAGAATTCAAATGGCATCGACGATATCCCAAGGTACCAAGCATGAACTATGCACGGTACTATTCATGGTGCTTTATTTTTTTGGAATGGCGTCCAGTATATGGTGGGTCATCCTAACGTTGACATGGTTCCTAGCTGCTGGGTTAAAATGGGGCCACGAAGCGATAGAAGCTAATTCCCAGTATTTTCATTTAGCGGCTTGGGCCGCCCCAGCGATAAAAACGGTCACCATTCTTGCAATGGGAAAGGTCGAAGGTAAGTAATCTAACATTGTTTGTTTGTAACACGTTGTTTTTGATACAATATTTCAGTAATATTTTATTTTTACAGGAGACATACTGTCTGGTGTTTGTTACGTGGGTCTTTGGAACGTTGAGGCGCTACGTGGATTTGTTCTGGCACCGTTGTGCGTTTATTTAATTCTTGGAACTGTCTTCTTACTGGCTGGATTTGTTTCTCTTTTCCGTATACGTACCGTAATGAAACACGACGGTACAAAGACTGACAAATTAGAGAAACTAATGATACGCATTGGCATATTCTCTGTATTATACATAGTTCCTGCCTTGATCGTCATTGCTTGCTTGTTTTATGAGCAAGCATATTTCGATCAATGGATGTTGACTTGGAATATGGAGATGTGTTCAAGGCCTGGACCGCAGTCTTTATATTCAATGCCGTGCCCCGTTGGAGAGCGTACCCGCGATGTTGGGAGACGGCCAGAATTCGAAGTTTTCATGATAAAATATTTAATGGCCATGATTGTTGGTATAACAAGTAGCTTTTGGGTATGGTCAAGTAAAACGCTGACTAGTTGGCGACAGTTTTTCAATCACATACAAGGACGTCGTACCGAGGCGTATGTTTAAAGACTCGACTAATTTTACGCAACAAAAGTGGAGAAGTTTTGCCTTTCTAAACTGCCAGATCTGATTATTGAATATCACGCTCAAATAATACCTAATCAAACTAAAGCGTAAAAATATACATTTTATTGTATCTGACGAAATTCCTCAATTTATAACGTCGTGTTACTAGATTTGATTTATTGGGAAGACATTTAAATAGCGAGATACGCATTTTTATATTATTTTTGTATGTTATCGGTGCATCAGAAAGAAATGACAAGAATTATACAAATGTAGTACTGTGCCAAAATATTTTTTTATCAAGATTATTGAATGCTTTCTATTGTATTTCCACGAGAGTTCCGCAAGGACTGCGTAAAATGTTAGACTTAACCATCAACTAATTTGCAAGTGTTATTAGATGATCTTTGCATAATATTTAAAGTGACAAATTCTTCCTGTTTGCGTTAATAGAAATTGCAATTAATCGCATCACAGCAACTCATCGTTTAAGTTACAAATGCTCAAACTGTCCGTAGAAAATGTGTTCAATGTTTATAAGTGTACTTCTCTAACATGCACAAGAAGCAAAGGTACTATTTTTTGTATCATTGTAATTTCAAACCTTCCATCTTGGGTTTGATCAATAAATTGAGAACAATTACGCTTACTCTAATCTCGCGAACAACTTTTGTAGTTTTACAAAAACAGTATGAGAAATATTTTACAACGTTTAATTAAGACTTGAAAATTTATTTAAAACTTGTTTACTCTTGACACTGAAAAAATTTTGTTGATTTTGTTACTGAATTTTTCTTTTTTTAATGCGTTCAAAAATAGCTTGCCTTTGCAGAGAATAATTAAGGCAAGTGCATCTTTGAAGAGGATACAAAATCTAAAATATAGGACATGTACTATTCTAGGTTAATTGAATTGTATATACCACTTATATACGTTAATTTTACTATGTACTATAATATATTTTTTAAAAATTATGTACATATATACACGTTTGCCAAGCAATTGGCATTTTCGTATGTTTCCTATGCGTAATCAAATCTCTGACTCGATAGCCACGAGTCAAGTCGAAAATACTCAGTAAGGATTTGCGGATCAAACGCAATCATTGTTCCAATATAACTGATCAATTCGTCCATTGAAACTGCCGAGCTTTTGTGTATTGTCACGTCCCAGGGGGGAGGGGGGGGGGGGGGGAAAGGGGCTCTGCTATTAATAATAAATGCTAGGACTTACTACGGCGCTATAAGAGAACGCGACGGTTTTGAGATTGTATCGGTAAAGTAAGGTTTTTCGTCTTGGAGTCGCCAGCCAGACTTCATCAGGGCTGATGGCGGCGACCCCTGGCCTCTAGGCTCTAGACTGAGCATGAAAATCCTAGGACCGCGGTCCGCACACAGCATGCTTAACTTGGTGATCGCTATCGATCCTGTATTCACTTGATTTTATATTACCCGAATTTGTATATTAAGGACGAACGCTGCGGTGACTCGACATCAGGTGAGGTTAATACCCATCCTGATTGTCGACCAAAAGAGAGAGAATGATTGAAATTGAAACTTGAAGTGATATAAAGGAACTTGAACGTGCGCGAAGACCCGTAGTGACGTAGGCACTCAAACGTCAGTATGTCATGTATTTTACGGCGATTAATGAAAAAAACAAAGAAAAACCTATTAATAAAGATACTGTATAATTACAACAGCCGTACTTATGGTAGACGCGTAAAAGATATCGTACATAAAATATATGACGTTGTGTAAAGTAATTGCAACTATTATATTCTTTATATAATAAACCTGAATATATACATAAAAACAAATGGTTTTACACGTGTACTTAAGTTTATTTAATCATATTGATTTATATATACAACAAATGCAAAATATACATATGTGCAAATCAATATACATTATCCATCAAATAAGGATTATAATCGATCATAAAATTGTAATTGTACATTATTTCTGCGTGGTTTGTGTTACTCTTTTCGGACGTTTAAGCAATCCAATTTTCCTCAAATACCTTACAAGGAATGGTGATCCCCCTATGCTTATTGAAAACCGAAGGGGTACCAGAAGTTTATGCATACCGTACGCAACCAAGAAGGTTGAGGAATTACCAACGTAAGCTTCGATTTGCTCATTTTCTATGTTGAATATAAAGTGAACGATAGGCTTTAAATCTATACCTCTGAAATCAATATTTTTATGATAAAGCGATACAAACTACTTTTTAAAAATATCAAAGCGAAACAAAGTACTTGCGTACAAAAGAATGTTGAATATAATTGTAAACACGAACCTAGCTACGGCTGCGTAACAAGCAGCGAGAGATATCAGAGAGATTCCTATGTGAAATATGACAACGGTAATCCCATATTCCTTGGCTAATATTTTAAATTTTTCTCTCTGGGACAACTCTTGTGGAATTTCTTTAATCCCTTTTTGGTTATCATTCGCTAACTTATTTACTGGTTCGGACGGTTTCGTTGAATATCCCATACTGTAGATATATTTTGGCTTGTACATTGCTTGGGAAAGTAAATTCGCTGTTAGACCTGAATGACAGATTACAATTTTCACGGTATTTTACACCATTTAATCACAATGTTACAATAACTTAACTATCACAGTTTTCGTTAACTCTTTTGCTAAAAGTTCTGAAATGATACGGTTATTATACCAAATTATGCACAAGAGTATTAAATCTTATAGCAAAAGAGTTAATCGGCGCTTGTACACGGCGAGCTTACTTTTAACATAAAAACATTTCATAAAAATATATTTTCTTTCCCTATAATCCCTACGTTTTGCGAAAAATTTTATATTGCACCGTGATATTCTGAATTTTTCAAAACATATGGAAAATTTTACTTCGTTGAGAGAGATTTTTACTTCTTGGTATGTTCTTACTAACCGCTTTTGTCCAATTTCAATTGCGATAAACGAACGATACGATAGTGAGATTTTTGCATGTCTTCGGCAATGTATTTCTCGTCTCTGGCCCACTGACCGCCCGGCATGTTCAAGTGCATTGATTTCCCATTAGAGCAGAACGGTTCCGGCACGTTGCTCTGCATAGTCCCGTTCAGGCTAACCGCTCCAAAACAGTCGTACGAATCCACGTGCATGTCGCTGCAGTTCTTTAGATTACTCGAACACGCTACTGTCGGCTTTGACAACTGATTGGAAAAGAACGACGTGTCATCGTTCTTGCCGTACAGTAGCACCGGTGCGTCGATGTCTCGTGCCCTTTCAGGTGTAAACCGGCCGGTTTCGTTCGCAAATATCTCGGAGACGTTTGCAGGAAGTGGCAGAGCAGGAGGATCGGGATAACGGCGGACACTTGTTACGTGGAGATTTTTCATGCGGTCTCGAGGTACAGCCGCGTATCGGATGCAGTGTATTTCGCCGAGTGGCGAACCTGCTAAAAGAAATTTCGACCAAAAGAATTTAGACAAAAGATGACGACACGATGAAAAAAAATGATTGAAGTATTGTTCTTTTTCTTAATTTCGCATCTACGTCGATTCGTTACGCAATTGACGGAATGGAACAGTCATTGTGAAAATGGTCCCTGTTGTACCTCTGACAAAATGTATAATCACAGTATAATTACAGTATAATCACAGCGACGATGTAATGTAATTTATAACTTGCAACAATATCAGCATAATTGATATTACTTCTTCTTTGACGAATTTAAATGTAAAAGGAACAGAAGAAAATAATAAAAAAAAAACATAGACGTGCCATTCTATAACACGAAATGTTACGAGAACAATTTTTAATTTAAAATAATTTAAATAAATTAATTAATTTAAAATATTCAATTTAAACGAACGATTTTCAAAGGCAGTAACAATAGACGAAAGTGAATTATAAATTTCATACCTGCGTGCGAGACCTGTGATAAACTTGTCAATAAGTAGGAGTTACTGATACGAAATAGTGCCATTTTAAAATCTTTAAAAACACTTGTTAACAGCACGTAATTTTGTTGATATACCACGTTGATATAACACTTTATTTATTTAAATCCTTCTACGCACGTAGAAAGTAATACGTGCAAGCATATGCTTGCTTGAATAACAAAAGGTGATTTTACAATGCGACGTGACTTAACCTACAAAAAATTCAGCATTTATATTCCCACTTTCCAATATCAGCACGTATGTATAGATTTCTTGAATATTTTAAACGTCTAAGACATTGTAGTTACAATGTCTACAAACCGGTTACCACTCTCCATATATGTATATATATAAAAAAAAATTCGCTACACACTGTTAATGCATATCACAGAATGATGGCCATTTTGACTACCATGTACTTTTATATACAGGGTGGACAATGAAAAACTGAATGGTTTGAAAAGGTCATGACTTGTTCATTTTCAGTCTTTTTTAGTTTCTTGTTTTGTAGATTATAGAAAAAATACTGAAAAAAATCCATTAATTATATTTCCAAATAAAATTAAAAAAACATGTATTTGTAAAAGTTATTTTTGGTTTATACTATTCAGTCTTTTAGTAATTACCCTATATAATATATGATGGTATGTCTACTTGAACGTGTATCTATTTGTCTTGAAACATTGCTAACTTACAATTAGATAATGCTATCATCATTTTTCATTTATCTGTTACTTAGAAAAAGATCAGACTTTTAAATACTGAAAAGATGTTTTAGAAATCAATCTTTAATTGAAATTTACAATATTTTCAAAAATTAAAAAGGCGGAAAACTCTGAAATCTAGTCGTTTCTCCGTAAAACAGTGTGAGAAATCTATAAAGTGAATTGTAATACTTTGATTTCTCACGTTTCTCTTAAACAATTGGAGAGAATGGAAAGCACGATTTAAGAAAACAGGTCAGATACGATTAACATATAATTATACAGATGGATATATTGTTTAAAGATCCGTGAGATATTTGACATCCTTGCAACTTATAAATATAATGGATAAAAAACAACGATAATCATTGTATTATATTATAAGTTTATTACGTGCAGCAGTGAAACGTGTAATAATTGTTAATAACTAACCGATTAAATAAGGATTTATGCCAAAGACAGCATGAAATTTGTTTGAACGAACAATTTTGATTCAAATTTTCAATGTCAATTTTAGTTTACCTGAAAATATTATTTATACATTAAATGGAACATAGGGAGAAAGTTTAGAGTCTAAAAATGAAGATACAACTGCAAAAGTTCGTAAATTAATCCCCTTAATTAGTTTATTTTACAAATGAAAATTCATTCAATTTATGGACACCGAAATGCTAGCGTCGCGTAGCGGCGATCAGATGGAACTAAAATTTACTGCTATCCTTGTTGCACGTTGGTGCTCTCTTTCTCTATCGCATCGCATAAGTCTGTTTTTGTCGCACACTAGTGCGTTCTTTGTCTGTCATATTACGTACATCTGTCCTTATCGCACATTGTTGCTCTCCTTGTCTACGAACAAACGATGTCCTGCCATCTACCAAAGACTGTTGGAACTAAGGTTGTTACCAACTTCGATTGTACAAGTGCTGCCATCTATAGAAAATTTCCTGCTTGCTCTTTTAGTTCCAGTTGGATTTGAGAGGTGCTCAGATGGCAGCACCACCGCTAGATAAGGAGCGCACCACTGTGCGACAAAGACAGTGATAGATTTTTAGTTCCATCGTCTCACCGCTACGCGGCGCTAGCATTTCACTGTCCACATATTGACAGAATTTTCATTAGCAAAAAAAACTAATTAGCAGGGTTAATTTATGAACTTTTGCGGTTGTATTTTTAATTTTGGATTCTGAACTTTCTCCTCGTGCCTCGTTTCATCCGCAACGTGCATGAACAGTGATTTGCAAATTTTGTCCAATAGATCCAGTTATTGGCGCGAAAAGGAATTTTATTTGAAATATATCGAAATAAAATTTCAGGCATAAAATGTTACGTCTGATGGTTGAAGTGGAATTGTTTGCGTAAGTGTTGTAGTCAAAACAGTGCGCAACGAATTTGGAACAGTTTTTTGATATGAATCTTTATTTAATCAATTGACAAGTGTCACATCTCCTTGGTACACAGGGACAGCGTGATGAATTTATCCATTGATTTTTGTTATATCGAGTTAATTTATAAACTTTTTTGCATGCGACATAAAGTATAGAGTTGAGAAAATATTCTGGAAGTGATACGATAATTTGATATACTCACATCACATAATTAACTTATGTAAGTAATGCCTCAAATCTTGGAATTTAATTTTGTTGATTTACTTATGAACTGTTCGTATGAATTCTATCTCAATTTTCGTAGGCATAATATAATAATAAACGTAACATAAATATATAACATCAATATAATCATAAAATACTTGAAGAAATGTATGACATGTATGAAAGTTTTCTATCTTGGTGAAAGTTTTTATTTTTATTCGAAAGCTGTTGATACTACTGATGATTTTTATGTCTTTCCTCCGAATGTTTTCTAATTCTATCTAATTCTCCTCAAATTCAAAGTTCGAGTCGAATTCTTCTCAGTTCTTAATTAGGCATCGTTTCCAATGGTCACTCTACCATTAAAAAAATTACGATTAAAGTACGAAACATTTTGAAGAAATTTATCGATGTAGTTGGTTTAACCAATCAAAATCCCATCATATTCCATTTTTACGATTAATAAAAGATATTGATAGTCTGCGTTATTACGCGATAGCAATTTTCTGATCGCGTAGTACGATTGTGATTACACGAGATCTTGATGCGTATTAAAAACACTTGTTTCTCCTTAAGAGGTTAATCTTGTATACGATAGCAGATATTTATCAATTGAATCATTCAATTGCGTAATTCCAATTATCATTATCAATGTGTAGAAAAAAAAAAAAAAAAATAACGATAGGAATCAATTCCTAATCAACTCTGGATTTGGCGATGTCTTCGTTTCTGTGAATTTATGTGAGAAACAAAACACTTCTGGAGTTTATCTCTAATGCAAGTTCATTAGATTCTCTGCTAATGATTTCAGTAAGATACGAGTGATTCAGTTCAAATTCGAAGAATTCGGATTTTATTAAATACGATTGACCAGACTTCTTCGAAGACGTTAACGTTCAATTTGTCAATAGGCTAGACTGTTAGTTAATAGGTTTGATCTGATATTTGCCGCCGAGGCGTTGAAAAAGGAAACAATAAAAGCCAGCAACTTTGATTTAATTTGCGCTGTCTCGTAAAGCCTTGTCCCAAGGTGGCACCTCATCACGCTTAAATATTTATAATTCTTGGAAGCAAACGATATTTCATACACTGCGATGTTGCCCAAGCTTTCGCGTATAATTGTTAAAATAATTCTTTAAACAAAGACGCTAACAACACGTTTTAGTGTCTCGTATCGCTTCGTATTTGTGCATCAATTATCCTCTTTCGGCCAGTCTTTAAAGCCACGTTATGCGTTTTAAAAAAAACGCATAATGTATGCTTTACGTTTCTGAATATGCATATCGTGTGAACTTGAGCCAAGCATTTGTAATATGGGCGTGTGCATGCCAGACAAGCAGAAAAATCTTGATTTCGAATGAATGAAATATTTCATAACGCGCGCACGATGCGAAACGAGCAAATAGCGTAGCAAACGTGCCGCGAAATTCGTTTCTATCGATATTTCACTTCGAGACGTTCGATTTTGATGCATCTCGGTTCACAGTGGACACGACTGGTAAGAGAAACTTCAATAAAGATATGTTTCGTCGACTGAATATTACAACGAGTTATTATATTTGGAATATTTTGCGCATTATATTTTTGATTGCGTGTTTTTCAGCATCTCTAAATTCTCGCAGCTTTCGCTCTCTTGCACTTTTCAAACATAGTAAAAAATTAATAATAGTTTGGTACACGACAAGTGACAACAACGTGAAAATTGTATAACAAGAGGAGTTTAATTATTTTTAATCATTTAACTATTTAGTTATTGTTTAATTATATTATACATTAGACTATATTGTTATTATGCATTGCATTAATATATGATAATGTATTGTTCTATATTGTTCTATATTATATTATAAATTAATTTATATTATAGTTCTTATATTATATTATATTATATTAATAATTATTCTTATACTTATATTAATTATATTATATTATATTATATTATATTATATTAATAATTATTCATTTGCAAGATAATTTAATAAAATATAATTAATTATATTATATTATATTCAATAAAATATAATTAATTAAATTGTAAGATAATTATACTTATATTAATTATATTATATTAATACTTATATTATATCATATTAATAATTATTCAGTTGCAAGATAATTTAATAGTTTAAGTAGTTATTTTTTATTCTTTGTATCTCATATTTAATTCAGCTTGCAGCTTTAACGCATGGTTCCTTTTGTTCACTTTTGATTGCATTAATTGTACACGTTTCCTTGTCGTGAAAATTGTTTAACAAGAGGAGTTTAATTATTTTTAATCATTTAACTATTTAGTTATTGTTTAATTATATTATACATTAGACTGTATTGTTATTATATGATATATTATGCATTGCATTAATATATAATAATGTATTGTTCTATACTGTTCTATATTATATTATAAATTAATTTATATTATAGTTCTTATATTATATTATATTAATAATTGTTCAGTTGCAAGATAATTTAACAGTTTAAGTAGTTATTTCTTATTCTTTGTTTCTCATATTTAATTCAGCTTGCTTTAACGCACTGTTCCTTTTGTTCACGTTTGGTTGCATTAGTTGCACACGTTTCCTTATCGTGAAAAGACTTTTATAAGTGACTCTAAATTAAATTAAAATTAAAATTGAAAATGTCGTTATCCTTCATTGTAATTTTTCATGCTTCCTTACCATTTGTTTCTCTATGAAACTCGTTGCCGAGACGCTTTTACCTTCTAAAAGCGACGCTCAGTGCAACCTTCGATTCCCATACAACGATTCGCCTTGCGCAACAATGCCGCGTCCTCGAATAATGTGCTTCATTTATCGTTATAATCACGTTATCGGCATTCCACTAGCCGACGAGCAACGTTAATTAGATTTCGCTCTGATGCTCTTTTCATATGCGTAATTCGTTTATCAGGCTGCAAAAAGGAAAGGTTACCATCGTCCGTTTAGTTTGCACGTCGAGGCACCGCGAGACGCCCCCTTTTTCACTCATGATTCTTCTTTGTAGAATGTGTTTTTTCACATTCTTCGCCGATCAACGTGCTAACAGTGAATTTATTTATACAGGTTTCAGCGTGTTTTTGCGTCGCGACATGTGTGACGTGCGAGCATTCTTTCACGTTAGTCGAACTCGAAATGAATTGTTCGACCTTTCGAGCCACGATGTAGCCTTTCTTTCTCGTTTCGCAGAGTTACTTGTCGCCGCGGCCGCGCACGTCGTTTCCCAACTCAGATTAACTTAGTCCCGACGCCAAGTAAATAAGCTGGAGCAAATTTCAATTGCCGCCTGCGATTTTTGGAGCGCGTTCAAACGAAACAACGGCTTCCTTAAACGAGGCAAATATTTTGTTTCTCTCGCGACAAATGTTCGAGACTACGATTTAATTACATTTAGAAACGGAATTGCAAATTTCCCAGAAAATGTCTCGGGGTGAAACAGGTTTAGGATTAGGAAATTCTGATGGTTGTGGGAGAAACGTAGAGCCGCGCTTAATTAGAAAAATACTGTATTTGTGGTGATTCGATGCTTGTAGACAGAGACCAAGTTGAAGTCGTTCGATTTGCCCGCGCTTTGATCAAACTCCCTTGGATCGGAAATGTGCGAACTGCCTCGGGGCTGCAATGGCGAGCGAGTTCTCCTCTACGTGGCCGTTTTTCTCGCACGACGCCAGACTTGGAAAGCTGGTGAGACGTTTCTGTTCGGTCGACAACGCGTTACGCGTTCGAGATCGAGTGGTTCTTCTGCGGGTGGTTCTTAACCGGCCTCGGGTGAAACAGGGACAGGCAGAAGCAGGCTGAACAAAGAGAACACAGCGTTAATACGTTGTCCGGCACGCTGTCACGAATACGTGACTTTTCCCACAAGACGTACGAAAATGAGCCGCGAATTCGACGTTCATTGCACCCATTTCTAAAAATAAGCTACCAATTTATTTACACGGCAATTGTTAATTTTCGGAAAGAAACCCGTCGCACTCGGGTTAGAGATAACTGATAACTGATAAATAGAGATTAACTGATAGATAAATACAGATTAATACAGAGATTCATTCAGATTGAGCAAATTCTCTAAACTGACGGTGAGAGCCAACAAGCAAAAATTTTGACGAGCTAACTTTTACCAATAAACACACCGTAATTACTAATTATCCTACGAACGATTGCTTATGTAAATATCGCCGATGGCGAGCAGTGAAATCCGCGCGAGATTAACTGAGATCTACGGAGGATCTGGTAGCAAATTCTCTGTACGTGAGGGATGCGAGAGATGCTAACTTTTGAACCAATGAACGTAGTTCGATTACTAATTGTCCTACGAACGATGAGAAAAATACGCGGCCGATCGTCAAAGGGCGAACACTTTCAACCGTATCAAAGTGTCGAACGTCGCGCGCTGCATTCAACGGTACTTACCGAACAACAGGCAACCTATCCCCATGATCCCGACCAGATACTCCACGTCCAGCAACGCGGAGAAAATGAAATTTCCCAGGACAGCGGCCACGTTGCCAACGGTGACCAGCACGTTCAGACTGGTGGACCTGGGTTGGAACGTCGGTCGAGACGTTTTTATTATATTATTCTGTTGTTATTATTTTATTTATACTATATTATTATTATTATTATATACGTTTCATTACGTTGTTAGACGTGTTATTATCCGGATACATTGGTGTTCGAGCGTCGTTTCGAACGGCGTTAGCGAAGACGCGCAGAGGTGGCGAGAAAGTGGAAACGCGAGCGCGATCACGAATCGTGTTCGAGGGGTACTACGCGTTTGTCTGGCTAACTAAGCGACGGAAGCATTACCTTAGTGGAATAGGAATAACGTCGATGTTCACGGCGGTAACGATATTACCCGTTATTCTCGTCGTCACGATAATGGCGGACGCCAGCGTCAGCATGTAGGGAGGTGACTGCGACCAGTTCATTCCGAAGCTGCTTATCACCGATATGAGGAAAGCGGCGACTGCAACAGGAACGAGCGGTTACTCGTGGATGGTTCCTCCAGCGTCGTGGGATACGCTTACGACAAATGCGCGTTGCGAGTAATCGTCGCTCCGACGAATGTATTATCGGAGGGATCGAGTGTCCTTAACCCCTCGCGCGGACCATAACGAGTGACCGTATCGTGTACACAACAATTCGTCGCTTTCTTTTCTCTCTTGAACTCGTCGGATATGACGTCGCCGGATCGAAATGATTAAGAGGTAGAGTGACTTGTCATTCGTTGTGCCCGGGTTACATTTAAATATACTTGAGACTGAGAAAATGTTGCGATTTGTTGGGACAAAAAATTCTCGACGTGCGCGGCAAGAGGTTAAGGCACCCACATACGAAACATGTGAAACATGTGAAATATGTAAAATGGCGATGCAAGCATCGATTTCTAGGCTTTATGATAAGTATCGGTAGGCAAACTGACTCGAACGCAGGTTTCATGAAACCTAGAAATCTACCTGCCAGTTTGTAGGGATACAGATCGTTACTTCCGACGTTTCCGAACTGGAACACGCGTACGCCGCGTAAATTGTGATTTAATCGTTTTAATTCTAGGATCTATTCAGCACTTTGGCTACTGTTGACGCCTAAAGGTGTTTTTAAAATTTAATTTCGAGGTACTGTTGGCGCCTATCGGCTTTTGGCTTACTTCGGCCAGCTGAAACGGGTGCTCGAATCAAACTAAAGGCGCTCGGCAAATGTTATTGACAATAATTGTAAGTAAAAGATATTGGATCAGACGCAAGTGAATTATAATTCAACAATTGCATCTTCCATTAGTCATATATTATTTAAACGTCGTTATTATTTATTTATATCATTATATATTATTTAAACGTTATTATTATTTATTTATATTATTATATACTATTTAAACGTCGTTATTTCATTTAATACCCTTAAAATGAAAATTAATCAATCACAAAAAGACACAGATATGCAGTGTGTAGAAAACGGAGAAAGGGAGATATATTATAAATGCAAGAAATGTGACGTAGGATTATGTATTGACCGATGTTTCGAACTGTGCCAGAACTTTACTAGATCATTAGATATATTATGAAATGAAGCTTTAAGTTACTTAAGTTAAATTTTTAGCAAGTGCACTAACAATTCAGTACAGAATACTGCATAAATAAATAACATTGGTTTAACGTATAATGCATAATTCAGTCTCTCGATTATTTCAATATACTTTCTGAGAGATGCACACTGACGAAAAAGTTTCGTCGTTCTCGGTGTTTAGTCGCGATTCAGCTCCTATCGTTTCAAAATTTACTATAGCGAAAGGGTTAAAAAACCGCGCTGAATAGTGCCACGCGAAATATCTGCAAATAAAAATAGTAAAAGTAAAATAAAGTATAATAAAGTAAAAACCTATATAGTAATTAAGAGAGGAATTATCTACAATATAATTAACGACGATGCGACGTTATGATCGGAAACCGAGGGCATTGCAAATCGAGCTGTGGCACTATTCGACACGAATAACTTTTAAACAGCGCGATCTAAAATTAAAACTAAAACGATTAAGGAACGATTACGATGCTTACGCATTATTGCTTTCTTCCTAAACTTCGAGGTGGTGATGAAGCCAGCGAGGAACGAGAACACAACCGCCGAGAGCGCGATGATGGCGGAATTTTGATATACCGCCGGGTTGATGTTCCACTGAAAAGTAAACACGAGTTACGGGAGATTTTTAACTATCTCTGGGGAAGGGTTGACATGTTGACTGACCGACACGTTTCTGTCTTTCTTGCTAATGTTTTCTAAACGACCGAAACACTAATGTTAATGTCAACAGGCATTGTTAACACTAGAGCTAACCAAGGATAACTAAAGCATAGAATTTTCATCAGAGATATTAAAGTGAAAAAAAAGAAAAAATAGAAATACAATGGAAAATTAAAGTGAAAAAAATAGATATACAATAGAAAATGAAAGTGAAAAAAATAAAAATACAATAGAAAATTAAAATAAAAAAAATAGATATACAATAGAAAATGAAAGTGAAAAGAATAGAAATACAATAGAAAAGATAGAAATAGAATACACAAAATGTATGTTGTAAAAAAATCATTTAAACCTCTAAAAATACACTGTTTCGCGTTCTGTAATATATCTATATGTTAAAAAATAATTAATAATTTATTTATATATTAAAAAAAAGTTATGAATTAGTCATTACGACCACTTCGGTAGTTCTAGTATTAATGGCCAGGCGTTCCCTCACCGTCATGCAGATCTCGTCGAAATTTGGACAGTCCAAGTAGTCTCTGGCCGGAATGGTCATCCGACGGTCCAACATCTCGCGCATGGTCGGCGATCTGTCCTTGGTCCACATCTTATTGTCGAAGTTGTTCAGAATGATGAAGAGATGCGGCACCCAGAGTCTCATCGTGTTGAATCTGCGCGGACGGAGGACCGAACGAAGCCAGATAGCGGTTCCAGTGGCGCGGGATTTCGCTTACATACTTACCCCAGCATGCTGCCGAATTGGAGGAAGTTGAGGGAGGCGAAGGCGCGCGAGTACGGGGAGGAGAATAAAAGTTTCGTGTTGTAACAGGCGACGCGTATCTTCTCGGAGTTCGTTTCAAAGACGGAGCGCCGCGACGCCGGCCCGTTCTCCCACACGAGCAACGCTTTGATCTGAAATGGACGAAAGAGGGGAGACAATGCCCCGGATTACTGTGTCTTGCAAACCACGCAATCGTGCAGAAAGTTTTGTGGCAAAGCCCGGTAAATATAAAGAAATCGATAACGATTTGCAATGGAACATACAGAAGATGAGTTGATCAATCACCGAGTTGATCAATTTTCGCAGAAATGTAGCTTTCGAAGAAATATTTGACACTTTTCATCCTTTTTTTCATCGGCAATCGTCAACGACGAAAGAAGTGAAAACTAACGATAAATGACATATGCACTATTTCGTCAAATATCTCGGAAATTACCGACGATACACAATTTTCGTGTAACTTGATAAAATTGGTACGCTACTTCGCGTGAAACACTAATTTGCGTAAAAGCCATTTATTTAAACAACATATTTGAAAAATCATATTTTCTATAAATGTCTCCAGGTAAACGTCACATATGTTTCCTTGAATATTATTCCTATATAACATTTATAATAATCATATAATAATTTATGAAAGCTATCCGCGATAGAAATGTTCGGCTAAAATAAACGAAGGGAGTCGAGTCTCACCGGGAACGTGTTTGCCGGCTTCCTCTTGTTCATGGCGTACATTCTTCGGAGAAGATTCAACGCCTCGTCGGGCCTGCCGTTCTCCACGAGGAACTTGGGACTCTGCGGCAGCGTGCTGGCTGTCACCAGACCGAAAACCGGCACGATCGAACAGATCAACAGGTAAATCCGCCAGCTGGTGTATCGGTGGTTGAACACGTTGACGGTCAACGACAGCGGGGTGATGATGAACGCGAGGACTGAAAGAAAGAAACGGTGCGAGATCGGACGAGAGAGAAGTCGGAAGAGCGCGGAACGACGCGACGCGGGTACGGCTTACCTGCCGGAATAACGATCGCCGCGTTCATAGCTAGGCCTGCCCACCTGGTGAAGCTCGCTTTGTAGGTTGGCGAGTGAAACTCGGAGAGGTAGGTGCTCACCATCGAGAAAGGCCCACCCGCGCTGAAATTCATACTTGTCGCGCGTAAGTACGAGAAATGTGTCGATCGGTCGAAATAAATCGCTCCGGAGCGCCGCCATTGAACACCCCTTAACCCCTTGCGTCGAGAAGTTTTTTTTTTTTTCTCAAATTGGCAACATTTTCTCTTTCAGTTTCAGGCACATTTGAATGTAATCCAGACAGAACAATGTTTATTACTTCTTAATCATTTCTATCCACTGATCATTCAACGAGTATTAAGATAATATTTTATGTACAATATTAGGTATTATATTTGAATGTAATATTATTATATTATAATATTAGGTATTATATTTGAATGTAATATTATTATATTATAATATTAGGTATTATATTTGAATGTAATCCAGACAGAGCAAAGTTTATTACTTCTTCATCATTTCTATCCACTGATGTCATATCGACGAGTATTAAGATAATATTTTATATATAATATTAGGTATTATATTTGAATGTAATATTATTATATTATAATATTAGGTGTTATATTTGAATGTAATCCAGACAGAGCAAAGTTTATTACTTCTTAATCATTTCTATCCACTGATGTCATATCGACGAGTATTAAGAGAAAAAGAAAGCGACGAAAAAATTATCGTGTACGGTTCGGTCACTCGTTATGGTCCTCGCAACCAGTTGCCAGCGCAAGGGGTTAAAAGTGTACACACACTGATAGAGTCATTTTAACGTGTTCGTTTCCTTTCGAAATCCTTTTTGAATCATTTGTTTGAATTTCCTGGCAACATTTTGACTTAGAAGAGACTAGAATGTTCGGTTTCTTTCTTTTTAACAAACTTTAATTCTTCGAACGAATGTCTAGCCTAGAAATTTTCAAGAGATTAATTAGTTGTATCTATGGTTGGTCTTACCGGAATTACTTATCGTGTAAATGTTCCATTGTCGAATAGAATAAATAGGAAAAGCTCATCTCGATGGCTAAAGTATATTATATATACGTTTAACACGCGATTACTCCAATTCGTCAATAGATGCAGACGCTCGTGACAAAAGTATTGCCATTACACGCGTGTTTTCTGTAGCAAATACTTTTTCTTTGCACTCATTTAAATATAAGTACAAATGAATAATAATTCGTACTTGTAACCAACATTGTAACAGATCATTGGGAGATCTGTGCTCATCTCACAGACAAAAGGTTTTAGACGATGGTGTGTCAGAGAACTGATCGCGTAGGGTTGATACTCACAGAACGCCGTTGAAAAACCTGATGGCCAGAAACGCGTAGTAAGAGTCGACAGCGCTAGCGAGTAGATTTAGAACCGAGTCCGCCAGGAGGCCGAGGATGAACAAGTTTCGCATTCCGACGTGCGGTGTCAGATGGTCCCAGACGAAGCTGGTCAACGCCATGCCTATGTGTTCGGATCGTACTCTCAGTCAGAGCCGATTGTTATTATAACGAGCGACGATGAACGATCTCGGGGTAATCGAGAGGACGAGGAAAAAGTAATCGCCGTACCTAGGAAGGGTGACGCGCAGAGCGTCCCTTTCTCGAAGTAAGTGAGCCTGAGGTCGCACTCGGCGGATGCAATGACGAAGGCGGTGGTGGTGGTGTCGAAGATGCCGGCCCACGCGACCGGCAGAGCCGCCAGCAACAGCAACACGTTGAACGTACCATAGCCTACGAACGAAAGGGAACAGAGAGAGAGAGGGAGAGAGAGAGAGAGAGAGATACACGTGCGTTGCACGAGGGATAAAACGATCGACACGATCGACGTGATCGAGCCCTCTGACCTGCCGTCGATATAGCTTTCTCGATGTCGGCCGTTTCGTCCGCGTCGTCGGTTCTCACTGAAAATCACGAGAGACTTGTGTGTCGAAAGAGCGGACACGGAGAGACGGCAAACGCGAATCGGCGGTTGCGCAACGCGAGTTGCGGTTACGCAAGTCGAAAAATTCCCGTCCAAAAAAAAAAAAAAAGAATCCTCACCGTTTATCGTCGAGATTTTCCCACTGCTTTCACCGTTCGTCACCATTTTCTTTTGCTTCCGGTCGATCGATCGTGCTCAGGAGGACGAAATTTCGAACGTATCGTCGAATGGAACTCCAAGGCTGTCAGCTTCGCTTCAGCAACACGGACGAGAATACCACGGAGAATCGCCAACGAGTGAGCTGTCCTCGTGCAATGTCCAGTTCCACGACGTTTAGTTTCCGAATATCGCGGACGCCGAGGACGCACTCCCGGCGACGATTCCCCTACGATAGGATCGACGGCACTGTGAACTAGCGGGCGCTTCGTTTACTGGCGCGCATCCCATTCGCGGCGGTGTAACTTGCCAATTAAAACGGGTCAAACGATTCAATTGTTATGGCCCGCTCTGCCGAGGTCCGCGAGCACTCGTTTGCCGAGCAGCGTTTAAACCGTTCTCCGATATCCGCCGATAGACTGCAACAACATCCACGATGGTAATGACTACGGCGCGGATGGGGCAGCCGGAGGCAACGCGAGCGGCGGAGGCGACCACGCTCACGAGATTAGCCGACGAATTCGCGCCTCGGTTTTTCGTGCAAAAACTAAGTTTAGCTGTGACCGTGACAGCGTCGACGCTAGACGTCAAGATAGGGTAAGCGTCGCCGTTGGAACTTGCACCGTGCCGAGCATCGTTTCCTCTCCATCTAAATTGATCTAATTATCAGAGACCTTTTAGGCTCTAGACGCGTTGATAAGATAACAGAAGACAACTGTCTTCTCTTACGTTTGACGCGACTGAAATTTTATTTCTAGCTGATCGCGTGCTTCGTTGATCGTTATCAAGCAGAGAGATACCGTCACCGGAAAGAGAAGATGTTCGATATATCAATCGCGAAACCGTGTGCCATAGGGAACGGTGAACGGAGAACTAGTTCGCTCGATCCTTGGGAAACCTTGTTTCTTTCGATCGATCGAATATCGGCCAATACGTTCTCTCTCTCTCTCTCTCTCTCTCTCTCGCCTTGCTCTCGCCATGATTGACTCGATCGACTGTTAGCAAATTATCATTGCTAATGCACGCAAATCTCCGCACCGAGCGTACCTTTCAAACGTTCTGTCGCTACGACCAGTTATAATTTCTGCCCAGAGATTTCTGAAAATTCCGCATTCTTCGCAACGATTGCTCGCGCAAATAATTGGTTAACGTTGCCCAAAAACAGACAGTTGTTCGATTTCACGCGTTGTTCGTTCACGATCGCGGTACAACGCGTCGCGAGTTGCACGTTGCGTGTCACGTGCGTGTACAATCTCGCTGAAATCTCGCTCTCGCAGTTTGCGAGGCACGGGACAGTTTTCACGGTCGCGTGACAGGCTTGTGATCAAAGCGCGTCATAATTGTTGAAACATCGCGGCGCGTGATCGATCTGCGTTAACCGCGCGTAAAACGCGCTCGCGAAGCTGAGAAACAAACATGCAAAGAGGAGACTTCGCAAAGAGTCGAATCAATCGATCTTTTGGCGAGAACGAGAGCGAATTAACTCAACGAATTAACCTCTTTACTATGGCAGACTTTGAATCATGACCTACATTGAGAACGGCGAAATTTTTCGTCAGCGTGCATTTCTCGGACAGTATATTGAAATAATCAACATATTGAATTATACACTAGATTAAACCAATGTTATTTATTCGTATTCTCCATTGAATTGTTAGTGCACTTGTTAAAAATTTAACTCAAGTAACTTGAAGCTTTATTACATAATGTATATAATGATCTAGCAGAGTGTGACACAATTCAATACATAATCCTACGTCACATTTCTTGCATTCGTACTTAATTTATTATCGCATCTTTTCATTTTAAGGTTCATTTCATCAAATGAAATAGCTGTAACACAAATCACGTTCAAATAATATGTGACTAATAGAAGGTGTAATTGTTGAATTAGAATTCACTTATATTTGATCTAATATGAAGTTTGCTGCAATTATTGTGAACAATATCTACATGAAAATAATAATAATGTAAATAATAAGACACGAAATAACTGTAAAATAATCGCGTTTAAATAATATATGATCAATAGAAGATGTAACTGTTAAATTAAAATTAACTTATATTTGATCTAATATGAAGTTTGCTGCAATTATTGTGAACAACATTTACATGAAAATAATAACAATGTAAATAATAAGACACGAAATAACTGTAAAATAATCGCAATTTAAATAATATGTGACTAATGGAAGGTGTAATTGTTGAATTAGAATTCCCTCATATAATAATATTGATATATAACAATAATAATAATATTATTATTATTAACATATTAATAATATTGAACATAATAATTTGAATAATTCACTCATATTCACTCCAATATGAAGTTTGCTGCAATTATTGTGAATAACATTTACATGAAAATAATAATAATGTAAATAACAATACATAAAATAATCTCTTGAATAACATGTGACCAATAGAAGATGTAATTATTGAATAATTAAAACTCACTTACGTCTGATCCAAGCGAGGTTTCCTGCAATTATCGTCGTTAACATTTGCCGTCCGCCTGCAGGCGTCTTCAGTTCGATTCGAGCAACGTGAAGTGAGCGCCCATAGGCGCCTCTCATTCCAGGGGTCCGAGGTCAGGCGCCTATGGCCGCCAACGGTAGCCACTAAGCGTTCAGACGTGCTCTCGTACGACGCACGAACGAGAATGTTTGCTCCTTCTGGAGCTGGGGGGGTTTGCGCAAAACACGAAATGCCGAAAACACGCGAGATCCCGCGGTGTCGCGTCGAGAGCTAATGGCACAAAGATAATCCCGTTGGGTAGCTAACCCCGTTGGGTTCACATCCGCTCGTTCCCGTTTGTTTCGACCGAGTCGGAACAAACGAGTCTTCAAAGCGCCCGGGTAATCCGCTTCCCTCGTTTCCTCCGTTGACGAACACCGTTGATTCCCGAAATCACGCGTGTTTCTTTCTCATTTTCTCTTTCTCGGGCCCGCGACGCGTCCTCTTCTCGCCCTTCCACGAAATTAACGCCCGCGACAGAGAAGGGCAGGCGAAGGAGAACCGCGATTGCGCCCAGCGGTAGCTCCGGTTCCCCGCAAGGAGAACGGCGTTATTTATTCGGACCACGTACACCCTCCAAGATAAGAGCACCCAAGCAATAATACCGACAACGGTAATCGTCTCCTCGACGGAACGATCGCGCCTCCCTCCCCCTCCCCCCCGGTCGATTCTCGTTCTCCCGGAAATTTATACCGCTCGGGAAATCGTTCTCACTCTCGTTCCCGTTATCCTCCGCCAACGCACCTGATCGAAATCGTCGTGTCGTTCTCCTTTCTAAACGAGAGTTTAGGGACGACTCTCCGAGTGGGAGGGGGAGGGGGGGAGGGGGAGGATTTTTCCTGAACAGAAAACATCCCCAAACAGTTGAGTCAGCGATTTACACTCGATGCGATACTTCTCTCGATATTTTTCTACGATACTTTGCGACACGGATCGCCAGACGAACCTTCACTTTTTACTTTAATCTTACACCCCCGTTGTATCCTTTCTCTCGGTCGGAGTCCTCCTTTCGGTAAAAGCTTTCTCGCGTTGCGCGAGATTCGAAAATTGAACCGCGCCCACCAGGCCGAGTTGAATACGGCCAGTTGAATATATATCGTTGAAGGATATTTCGTCGGAGACGAGCTTGCGATAAAGAGCAAAAGCGGCTTTGTTTTTCGCCGACGTTAATTAAATTACGCCCGAGGGGGGGAGAAAGCAAGAGAAAAAGGAGGCGGAGAGGGAACTTTAGTTCAAGAACTGAACTCGAGTTCAAACTTGCGCCAAAGTTGCTTCCTCCCTTCGAGAACCTTTCGAGATCTCGGGGGCCAGCTTTCTTTTTTCCTTTTCTTACCTCCCCCGACCGGGAAAATTTCTCATCGTTGTCTATTATTCGTTGGCAGAAGCGGTATCGGTCACGTCGCGGCGTAAACTCCGCGCCACGGATGAACCATAAATGCGTTCACGTCCGCCGTTGCGATGGGATCGTTGCTCAAGAATCGTTGGACGCGTACGTGTCTCTCGAACGCGTTCCCCGTCGTTTGCATGTTTCACGAACCAACCGATTCCGTTTCTCCATCCTCTCTTTCCTCCCTCCCCGCTTTTCTCCTCGGAAACTATTATCACGAGTGAAATAATTAAATTTGAAATTTTCTAATCGCAGTCCTGTTTCATCGTGTTAACGCCACAGCGCGATTGTGCGTCATTTGTAAAATAATGGTTGGCACTATAATGACGCATTTTCGATTTACGTCATTTGCGATTTCAATTCTAACTTTAATGTTGAAAACGTATTAATTATTAATGTCATACGTCGTCAGGGGAAACGGATACGTTCTGCGCACATTCTGACGACGGTTTTTTTTCCTTTTCATAAAAATAAAAACGGCAGAATTTTTACATTTTTCATTTCAGTTTTGTACATGAAATGGCAACCATTTGTACTATGCATCGTTAGAAACTTCAGCTTTGGTAAACCTTGTTTGTCGCCATAAAAGGGAATGTTCATTGCAACGTTTTCAAGAGAAATACGCTTGGTATATTTGTTTACGACCATCGCAAGCATTTCCCTCTGATGCACAATATGCAGTATATTTCACTACTTTACTTTACTTTATTTCTTACGGGGGGAAAATTTCGTAAAATACCCTTATGCTTTGAATCTTACCATGCAAAAGAAAATTATTAACGTTTATTTTAAAATGTTAGTTTTGTTACTGTGTATCTGTAACTTTTAGTATACGAATCTTTAGAATCCCTTCATAATAACGTAATAAAGTTGCTTTAATCCTCGTTCTACGCTATTTTCACAGAAAAATGTTAATATTTACACTTTGGAACAAAAAGATAGCGCATATTATCTATATTTCCCTGTATCACGTATCATAAAGGAGAGAGAATGCGTAGATTGTTATATCATCTTGGTATTCTTGGGCGTGATGGTGTTATCATGATTTACGAAAGGAGTCACAATTCCACGGAAGGCGTCGGTATAATGATTTGACCAGGTTACTAAGGTAAGAAACAAAATTGGTTACTAAGGTAAGAAACAAAATTTATTATAGGAAAGTTAAGTAGTAAAAGATATATTGAAACGATTGACGAACAAATTAACACGTACGCGACGCAAGTTCTCGGAAATTAGTACATTTTTCAACCGTGCACAACATAAAAGCAGCGAAACAAAAAGAATTCGTGTTTTAAAATGGCCAGCCAAGTCTCCGGATTTAAATATTATAGAGAACTGATGGAGGTATATACTAGAATGGTAGACAACTCGCAAATGTTGATGAATCAAAAAAAATTTATCGTGAACGAGTGGGAAGAACTAAGCCAAAAGAATCATTAAAACATAAATCTTTGCCTCAAAGAATGACTTTCGTTATTGAATGCAAACATCTAAGAATAAATATTAGACAATTATCAACTCGGTTGTTTATTTTTGTTTCTGTCCACTGTTTTCCACGAAACGTGCTTTTGACACGTTAGGTATTACCATATTTCTACTACCTTCTTAATGACATAAAATCAAACACAATTATCAAACTCGTTTTTTTTTTTTTGTTTCCATTGCTCTTTCACGAAACGTGCTATAATTTTAACCCGTTAAATATTTCTATGTCTCTTTTAATAACG